CATTCATGAACCCAAAGTTAGTGCCGCCAAAAAACATGTAGAAATTGATGGATGAGTTGGCGTTGAATAAGACATCCGTCACCTCCTTCTCAAACCTGTTGACGTCCATCCGGTGGTGACCCTTCTCCGACCATTTGTCAAACCACCCTGGCCAAAATTCGGTCACGTGCAGCGGCTTATTGGGTTGAGCTTTGCGCAGTGCGTTCAGGTTTTTTAGCGAGTCCGAATTAAAGTTGTCCGTCTCTAAGATACCTGTTTCAATCAATTTTTACATAGATTGTAATTAAAATTATTGTGATATAAAATTGTTGTACATCTACTGATTTGTATATTATAAAGTATTTACTTTGCATAGTATTTAAAAACTATTTAACAATAATCTAATGAGTGGCTAATTCAGTATAAGTAGTGATAATATTGATAGCACATGAGAAACTTATGATTATTATGCTAATATTTATGATATACAAACTTTAGAATAACAATGATCATTTTAAACAAACACTATGATAATTAAATTTAAAACCTAGGTGACATAAAAATCACAACAAACCTGGTAGGGCAGTCTTCATAGCGTTGGCCGCATTCATACCGGAATCGCAATTAATGAGCAACTCTTTGAAACCGTGGGACTCAATGGTAGTCCTCATGAACTGGAAGTACTCCTTGTCGTCGGCGTTATGAATGCCTCCGAACTCGTTCTCAAACTGCATCGCTATTACGGGTCCGCCTTTAGTGAACTGATACTCGTCTATGAGTGACAACACTTTTGTGAAATACCGGCCCACGGCCTCCATATAGGGCTTATAGTTGGACCGGAGGCGGATGTGTGGGTCCCGCAGGAACCAGGCCGGGTAGCCGCCCATTTCCCACTCGGCGCATATGTACGGCCCGGGCCGGTACACCACAAACATGTCGGCCTCTTTGGCCGCCTGTAGAAAACCCTTCAGGTTTAGGAAACCGGTCTCGAAGTCCCAGTGGCCGGGAGTCTCCTCGTGTAGGTTCCACGGGCTGTATGTCTGCACCTGTTGTGTCACAAATGATTGTTTATTTTAGTAATAATAATAATAATTTTAATTTAATTTGTGGTAATATTTGGTGTAAACATACTGTGTTAAGTCCGGCGGCTCTGAACTTCAATAGCCTGTCCTTCCAGTACTCGTGCGGTAAATTGTTTATTTTAGTAATAATAATAATAATTTTAATTTAATTTGTGGTAATATTTGGTGTAAACATACTGTGTTAAGTCCGGCGGCTCTGAACTTCAATAGCCTGTCCTTCCAGTACTCGTGCGGTAACCGAAAGTAATGCAAAGAACCGCTAAATAAAGTGATTTGTTTGCCGTTGAGTGTGAAGTGCTCGGAGTCGGCCCTCAGTCCCGACTTTATGCCACCGGCGGTGTAGTACTCGTAGTTTGTCGGTAACTTACCGTCGGTGCCACCGATTATGGCCACCAAAACGGCGCATAATATCACCGATAACTTCATAGTAACTATTATTTATGAGATGGTGTTTATGAATAAATGAATGAATTTATTGTTTGTTTGAGTTTTTGCTGTCGCTATTTATATATGAGAAATATGTTGAGTGTTTTGATAAGAAATCGCTGCTGTTTTGATTCACATAGAGTTGTTTGTTAGGAAATTTTTTTAGCATCATAGATTCCATTAGGGTTATACATTAGTATTATCAACTGTAGTGTTGTCCAAAGATCAAAAAGTCAAAAAACCAATTGACTTTTGACCCTCAGGGTCAAAAAAATCTTTGACTTTGACTCGGGTTAACCCGGGTTAACCTTTTGACCATATTACGTAATTGTTGTCATAACAACAATAGTAATAATTATGTTTATTATTTATAATTAATTATTTCTTTTGATACAATTGAATTAACTATATCTAATACTGGCCATTTTTACACTCAGTGTAAATTTCAATTTAAAAAATGTCTGTTTATATATGAACTTTAATGCATTTTTTATTGCTGCCCATTATAGAACTATATTATATTTATATTTAATCGTTTATAATTTAAATACAATTGAATTGACTAGATTATATTTATTTTTAATTGTTTCAAATTTGTGTACATTTATTATATATGAACAATTAATGATCTTATCGAAATTTAATCAATTCTATCCCTTAATCGATGCATATGCACCCAAAAAAGTAGATCAAGATCAAGTGGTTAACCGTTTTTGATAGGCTGATGTAATTATATGAGTTATTATTAGTGTATTTTGCAGAAATTTTAATGTATTTTCTTACTTTTGGGGTTATTCCGGGTCAAAAAGTTAACCCGGGTTAACCCGGGTCAAAAACAAATTTGACTTTTAACCCAACGAGTCAAAAATATTTTTGACTTTGACCCGGGTTAACCTGAGTCAAAAGTTAACCCTGAGTCAATTTGGACTACTCTAATCAACTGTCATCGTAAATTAGCAACTTAAATGCTACTTGTTAATTATACTTGTATTTATAAGACACGAGGTCAATTGAGCCACTCATTTTGGTCTACCCTGCTATATAGCATGTATTGAATGCATTGCATCAGAATGTATTCAATACATGCTTTCAAACACAATCGACAATCGATGGATCGATGTATTGATAGGCAATGGCTTTAAAAACGGTTACACCCAATGGGGGAAAGGATAGGGCGACAGACGGGGAGAGCCAATCAGATTAGCAGCTTTTGTAGGGATATATTTATATTATTTAGATTTTTATTATTTATCAAGACTTTGTTGTATTTAACTTTAATTTAAGTTAATTGAATTAATTTAAATTCTTTAGTAATAAAATGTCAAACTATTTAATAAAGCTAGTAAATTTGGTAATTGTTAATTACCAATAGTATTTTAATTGTCCGTTGGCAACGCTACAAAAATCCTTTCCATAATCTTCATGATAAAATAAATTATTTCATTTTGTGTCACACATTATGTCTGGGATTTGTGCTGTTATAATAAATTTTATACTAGAGCACATTCTCGGCAGAACCTTGATTGCTATGCAAAGTCTATAGTACGCTCAATGCGATGTTTAATTGCTATTTTAATTGATAATACAATTTGCTATACAAAATAATTGTTACTAGGTATAATAGTACCTTTGTTGACTATAATGTGCATTATTAATGAACAATTTCTAGTACAGTATAACGTACTTTACAGTATCTGTGATTTTATTTCGTTATTTTATATCAAAGTAATTGTTCATTACTAATGAATCATTAGTTTTAATAATTTTGAAGTGGTTTTAATCGCAATCAATGGAAAAATTAAATTCAGTGATTAGATTGAAGTGAAATGCAATTCACATTAATTGGACAAGAATTCTAATAATGTTATAATCAATTAGTAATGCGATACTTAAATTCAAACATTGTTTTTATAATTAATAATTATTATTAATTATGAATAACCAAATTATTTAATTCGTTATGAATTTGCCTTTACTAACAATGATGTGGGCTGAACGGGGGTGAGGTGTTCAGCACCCGAGACATCAAATACAGCACACAATGTGTTTAATATAAACGACTTTATTGAATGTTAAAAATGGACTAAATTATATACACGTTGGGCTCAGTCTTATATACTATAAGATGAGCTCAAGTTTACAGAAATTCATAATTAATATATACATTTAATAGTCATTCAGTACTCATTGGAAAACAACAGAACATTAGGTATTAAGCATATGAGTACAGAATGAGAAAATACAATAATCATAAAGTAATAGTGAATACAAATATAAGTCATTCTGAATATGAATATAATTAATACAAACAAATATGATTCTGAATATAGTTAATACATGTCTAATCAAAGTAACATAAGGTCAGATCACTTCAACAATAAGTTGAATATTGAATTGTGAATAAGATTTACTAATAGTTATGAAATACACATAAGATAATGAATAAATGCCAATAAATATTCTTTATGGAAATACCATAATCTACACCCGTCTCATAATAACCCTAATGAAACATGCGCGCAAATGTATATAATATATTGCTGATTTAATTTTAACTTAAATTAATAATTTTTCCATGATTATTCAATCAATGCAATCAGGACCTACCTTGGAGGAACCTGCGAGAAAAACTTAGCTCACGATAAATTTTTTAAAATGAAAATAAAGTGTTTTATTAAAAAGTATCGAAAGTTTTTTTTATTAAGATAAGATTAGTGTGTAAACTGCAGGTGCTATTTAATAAGTAAGGCTATTTTATATTGCATAGCAATACTTTACAACACGGACAATAATTAAATGTTTAAATTAACTAAATAATTAGCTTAATAATTTAATATTTAATATTTTTGTTACGTGTCAGGCGTATTGTATCACAAATAGGTTTTATGCATTTATCGTAAAGTTTTCACAACTAATAGTACTGTATTAGTTTAATACAAATTACATAATACACATTACCATATTAAATAATAATGTGTATGGTTAGGAAATAAAACATCATTACGTACACAATTATAGCGCATGTTTTAGTGCACAGAATCTGATATAATGTTTACAAAACATATTCTCTATGTTTTGCATTCATATATAAAATACACAATCATTCACACAAAATAGTAAAACATGTTTTTAATTGTAAATATGACATCAATTTAATTGTGATGAATTATTTCAATATTTATCACTATTAACTACAGTACAAGTAACTATTATTTCAATGTATTTTCTACGAGTGTGGTTTAATTGTCATTTAGGCAACAAAACTATATCATTGTAAATTTATTATCAAAAATAAACTCTGGTTATCAATTGTTTGAATTGTTGTGTAAATATGATAATATGTTTAAACACATATCAACTTTCCTGATAATATCACGTGTACGTTTATGTGGCATTCAATGTGGTATTTAAAATGCACCGTATTTTTTTATTATTTATTCTCTACAACAAGTTATAAATTATAATAAAAATTTTAATTGGTGAAATTATAAACCAACAAAAATGTTTTCGCTATCAAAACGTGTTACAAATTTAGTTACTATTTATAGACGACGTATCGGTGGCTTACAGTTAGATAATGTTTTACACAGTGATAACCATAGGTTGTTTAGCACAGCGACAGCAGCTCCGGGTGGTAGTGACGGCACCGGTAGTCTGTACGACATGTTTGGCCGAAAACACAACTATTTACGTATATCGTTGACAGAGAGGTGTAATCTCCGGTGTATGTGATTCTTAATGTCTATGTTTTTGCAACAGAATATTCTGTGATATAATTAAAATTTACAAAAACAAAAACATTTTTAATAAAATACATATTTATTTTGATTATTAAAATACAGGTTTGTATTGCATGCCAGAGGAGGGCATAGAGTTGACGGCCAATCGGCAACTGTTGACCACCGATGAGATCAAACGGATTAGCGATTTGTTTGTCAAAACACTTGGCGTTAATAAAATACGGCTAACGGGAGGCGAACGTAACCATAGCTATAAACAAACAACAAAATACAATATTACAACATAATTACCATTTCTATTACAATAGCTTTGATTCGTAAGGATATCGTCGATATTGTCACACATTTGTCTTCATTAAGACCTTACGGTCTAAAGACAATCGGTTTGACCACAAATGGGCTGATTTTGGAGCGGATGTGCCGTGACTTGAAAAGTTCAGGTAATCTCTCTCTCTCTCTCTCTCTTTCAAAATTAACTTATAATACAAATCTCTCTAATAACAGGTCTGACAGCAATCAATATAAGTCTGGACACTCTGGACGCCACCAAATACGAGATAATCACCCGCCGGAAGGGCTGGCATCGGGTGATGCGGGCGATCGACACGTGTCTGTCCGCTGGGTTTGACTCAATTAAACTCAATTGTGTGGTCATTAAGGGCTTCAACGACACAGAACTGCCGGCATTCGTCGACCTGACCCGCGACCGACCCCTCGACGTGCGGTTCATTGAATACATGCCTTTCGACGGCAACCGTTGGGCGTCCGAAAAGATGGTCACTTATCGGGAAATGTTGGCCGCAGTGAGCGATAAGCACCCGACTGTCCGGCGTCTGGAGCCCAGCCTTAACGAGACGGCGAAGGCGTATAAAGTGGACGGATTTCGCGGCCAAATTGGTTTCATAACGTCTATGAGCGACAACTTTTGCGGCGCTTGTAATCGGGTTAGGATTACCGCCGATGGAAACCTTAAGGTATGGATTAGTTGTCAAAGTTGTTACCGGTTTTTAAGTATTATTATCAGAGCATTGCATTATAGGTGTTTATAAGACATGAAATAGTCACTATAATAGTTACGAAAAACAGCCCAAATAGTTACTTAAATAGTTAGTTATAATTTGACAAAATAGGCTTAAAAATGACTTAAAATGTTACCAAATGCCAGTTTTACTCTTTAATACGTTAAATATGACTGTTTTTAAGCTAAATCACTTGTATTTAACTAAATTAACTGTTTTTAAAAATATTTTTAATTATTTTGGTCAAAACCCTGAATACATACAACTCATAATTTTAGTCATTCTATCGCTTTGAATGATAAATTATTGCAATATTTTATAATAACCTTTACATTTGTCATAGCTTACTCTATTTAAACTTTTTGCTATCTAACAAATGTAAATTAAGTTGTAATTTTCTTTGTGTTTTATACTAAAATATACCAAAAATTTGAAAAATGTGTTAAATAGTTACTTATTAGATAATAAACGTTCAAATAGTTACGAACGCCTCAAATAGTTAAATATAGTTAAAATAAACTTTCGATAAATTGACCCCCAATACATGATCGGTTCACAGCCCGAGTTTGGGGATAAAGCTATGAACCGCTAAAAATAGGTGGTATAGGTAAATGCAATTCCCTGATTATTATTATCTCTTCATAATAGGTGTGTCTCTTTGGCAATGAAGAGGTGTCGCTCAGGGATGCCATGCGTTTGGACGCCGCCGACGACACACAACTGGAGACTGTGGTCAGGGATGCGCTCAATCGTAAACACAAACAACACGCCGGTAATCAAAACGAGAGATTAACCATGATAAATTAATTACCTTATATTTATTAATATATGGCCAAAACCTACAGGCGCTCAAAACATAGCCAACACTCCCAACAGACCAATGATACGGATCGGTGGGTGAATTGGCCGCACATTTTCAATACTCATAAACTACA